AGACTGGGAATGGACTCCTAACGCCTGTCGCTGAGTGTACCATACCGTGTGGCGAGGCCCGGGGTAGTTGGCAGCCATGATCAAGGGCTCCAAGCAGGACAGCTGTGCGCCCTGGGCCAGAGGAGGGGCTCCGGAGCAGAGAGAAGAGTCAGGGTGGCTGTGACTTCTTCTTTCTGATCTGGCTTCTGAACCTCGGGCAGCTTCAGTCCATCACCTGTTTCCAATTGGTCTGACTTGAGTATGTATAGTAAGGTTTTGTTTTGGTACAGTAAACATAACACAAAAATGACCATGTTATTTTATTATTTCAAAAGATTCTTTATTTTTGAGATGGGGGAGGGGGGGAGTGAGAGAGAATCCCAAGCAGGGTCTACAATCAGCACAGAGCCAAGACGGGGCTCAATCCCACGACCTTCAGATCATGATATGAAGCAAAATCAAGAGTCAGACGCTTAATGGACTGAACCACCCAGGCGCCCCTTGACCATTATTTTTTTTTAAATAGTTTATTGTCAAGTTGGTTTACATTTACTACTCAGTGGTCATCCCAATAAGTGCCCTTCCCCATGCCCATCATCTCCCTTCCCCTTTCCCCAGCCCCATCTGCACTCAGTTTGTTCTCAGCCTTCAAGAGTGTCTCATGGTTTGCTTCCCTCCCTCTCCCCAACTATTTTTCCCCTTCTTGTCCCCCATGGTTCTCCGTTAGCTTCCTCCTAATCCACCTATATGTGCAAATATATGGGAGCTATCCTCCTCTACCTGATTTATTTGCTAACCCTAACATCCTCAAGTTCCACCCATGTTGCTACGCATGGCCAGTTTTCATTCTTTCTCATTGCCATGGAGTATTCCATCATATAGATAAACCACATCTTCTATTTTTAATATTTTTATTTATTTCTAGGAGAGAAAGAGAGAGACAGCGTGAGCAGGGGAGGTCAGAGAGAGAGGGAGATACAGACTCTGAAATAGGCTCCAGGCTCTGAGCTGGCAGTCAGCACTGAGCCCGACGCGGGGCTCGAACCCACGAACCGCGAGATCATGACCTAAGCAAAAGTCGGACGCTTAACCGACTAAGCCACCCAGGTGCCCAAACCACATCTTCTTGATCCATTCGTCCGTTGATGGACACTTAGGCTCTTTCCATGTTTTGGTATTGTTGAGAGTACTGCTACGAACATTGGGGTACATGTGCCCGTATGCATCAGTACTTCTGGATCCCTCTGGTAAATTCCTAGCTGTGCTATTTCTGGGTCACAGGGGAGTTCTATTGTTAATTTTTTGAGGACCCTCCACACTGTTCTCCAGAGGAGTTGCACCAGCTTACATTCCCACCAGCAGTGTCGGAGGGTGCCCGTTTCTCCACATCCCCACCAGCATCTAGAGCCTCCTGATTTGTTCATTTTAGCCACTCTGACTGGCGTGAGGTGGTGTCTCAGTGTGGTTTTGATTTGTATTTCCCTGATGAGGAGGGACGCTGAGCATCATTCATGTCTCTGTTGACCATCTGGATGTCCTCTTTGGAGAAGTGTCCGTTCATGTCTTCTGCCCATTTCTTGACTGGATTATTTGTTTCTCGGGTGTGGAGTTTGGTGAGTTCCTTATAGATTTTGGATTCTAGCCGTTTATCTGATATGTCATTTGCAACTATCTTTTCCCATTCCATCAGTTGCCTATTAGTTTCATTAATGGTTTCCTTTGCCGTGCAGAAGTTTTTATCTTGATGAGGTCCCAGTAGTTCATTTTTGCTCTTGATTCCCTTGCCTTTGGGGATGTGTCAAGTAAGAAATTGTTGCGGTTGAGCTCAAGGAGGTTTTGTCCTGCCTTCTCTTCTAGGGTTTTGATGGTTTCTTGTCTCACATTCAGGTCCTTTATCCATTTTGAGTTTATTTTTGTGTATGGTGTGAGAAAATGATCTAGTTTCATTCTTCTGCGTGTTGCTGTCCAGTTCATCTGTAAAGAGGCTGTCTTTTATCCATTGGATATTCTTTCCTGCTTTGTCAGAGATTAGTTGGCCATACATTCGTGGGGCCCCTTGACCATTTTTAAGTATACACTTTACGGGGCACCTGGGTAATTTGGTGGGTTAAGCGTCTGACTTTGGCTCAGGTCATGATCTCATGGCCCTTGAGTTCGAGTCCTCCTCAGGCTCTGTGCTGACAGCTCAGTGCCTAGAACCTGCTTCAGATTTGTATCTCACCCTCTCTCTGCCCCTCCCCTGCACCTACACTGTCTCTCAAAACTAAATGTTTAAAAACATTATAATATGAAAAGTATACCCTTCAACACTATTACGTACATTCAACCTGTTGCGCAGCCATCACCATTGTCTATTTCGAGCACTTTCTCATCTTCCCAAAATGACTCTCCATTTCCCCTCTCCCATCCCCTGACAGCCACCACTCTGCTTTCTGTTTCCATGACTCTGACCAGGCTCCATGTACCTCCCATTTTCTGTCTGGCTTCTCTCCCTTACATCACGTCCTCAACGTTCACCCATGTGTAGCATGTGTTGGGAGTTCCTTCCTTCTCTCGGCTGAATATATTCCAATGTGTGTGTGTACCATGGGGTTTCTCCACTTCCCCACTGACAGGAACTGGCTGCTGCCAGCTTGTGGGGAGGAAGCTCCAAGAAGACGGGGTACAACATCCATGAAAGTCCCTGCTCTCTGTGCTTTGTGCATCTGTCTGCCTAGAAGGGAAATTGCTGATGGAGCGAGATTAGAACTTTCAACCATGAACATGGGGGGCGCCTGGGTGGCTCAGTCGGTGAAGTGTCTGACTTTGGCTCAGGTCACGATGTCACAGTTTGTGAGTTCGAGCCCCACATCGGGCTCTGTGCTGACAGCAAGAGACCACCTTGGATCCTCTTCCCCTTCTCCTCTGCCCACCCCCCACATTCTCTCTCTCTCTGAAAATAAATAAATAAAACTTAAAAAGTTTAACAAAGTAAAATATTAAAAGAAACCATCAACGTGGTGGAGGGGGTGTGTATTCATCTGACTATTCGGGAGAACTCTTTAATGCCATCCTCTGTAGCTGGTGACATGCCTACCTCATGATGGGTCAGAGTCCTTCCTTCTGTTTTATTGAAACTTTCCTATTGCGGGTGCCTGGCTGGCTCAGTCAGTGGAGCCTAGCACTCTTAATCTTTGGGTCATGAGTTCAAGACCCAAGGTGGGCATGGAGCCTACTTAAACAAATGAAAAAAAAATCATATAAATTAATAATCATAAATAATATCCAAACCCCGGGAACAAATGTAGTCACTGTATTTAAGAATAAACCGCTGGCAGATATGCATAGATTACTCATTAAAGAGTAGAATAGTAGACTCCTAATTAAATAGAATCGAATACTAATTAAAAGCAAAAATAGGGAGGACTGTGTCACACAGTGGTTAAACACCTGACTCTTCTTTTCAGCTCAGGTCATGATCTCATGCTTGTGGGTTTGAGCCCTATGTTGGGCTCTGGGCTGACAGTGTGGAGTATTCTTGGGATCCTGTCTCTCCGTCTCTCTCTGCCCCTTTGCCCCCTCAAAATAAATAAATAAACTAAAAAACAAGCAAAAACAATACCAAAACCAAATGAATTATTGATTCGTCTTACAACATGGATGGATAACCTGAAAAACATAACGCCGAGAGAAGGAAGTCAGACCCTAAAGCATAAGTAATATCTGAGCCCCCATTTGCGGCACACAAAGCCCACGAGAAGGCATCTGCAGGGACACAAGAGAGGAGGTGGTACACTTGTAAGGATTTTACTTGAAGGGCCTAAGACAAAGCCCAATGCCTTCAGCTCGGCACTCAGGCCCCAAAGTTTCTAAGCTGCCTTCTCTCCCACCGTGATCTTGTACATGGGGCTTCCAGAACTCCTGCCCAGCTGCAGGCACAGGGGCGCCTCCCCTCATCTGCAGGGCCCTCAGGTCTCCCCACATCTCCCCCTGGGCTGCCCGCCCACCGCTCCCCCTCCCCACTGCAATGGTGGCACGTGACCTCCAGGAGTAAGTGGAAGGAATCTGTAGGCTGAACTTGGTGGTGGAAGCAAGGGTGTTCACATAGGGAGGCACTCATCCACCTCCACTCTTCAGATTTGCATACTTTACTCTAGTTAAGTTAGGCTCAAAACACAATGAACACACGAAAAATCTTGGTTGAAAGCTGTTTAGCAAAAGGAAGAGAAGATTAAGACACAATTTTGCTCTAGGAACTTCCACAGAGACATTAAATGGGAAAATCAATGTGTTGCACTTTACTCAAACTTGTATTTGTAATTTTTTATAAGTTATAGATAAAAATATATACATATATATATAGAGAGAGAGAAAAGAGTGTGCATGGGGGAGGGGCAGAGAGAGGGAGACACGGAATCCGAAGCAGGCTCCGGGCTCTGAGCTGTCAGCACAGAGCCTAAAGTGGGGCTCAAACCCATGAACTGTGAGATCATGACCTGAGCCAAGTTGGACGCTCAAAGGACTGGCCACCAGGGTGCCCTTGACTTGTATTCATGATTACATGTCCTATTCTGGGGGTGCCTATGGGGGTCAGTCGGTTAAACGTTCAACTCTTGATTTTAGGCTCAGGACATGATCTCACGGTTCCGGAGTTCAAGGCTTATATTGGGCTGGGTCATGGGAAGTAACCGTGAATGCAGTTCAATCCCTTCCCAGGGGCAGGGCTGGGGAGGGAGAGGAGGAAGGAGGGAGGGCTGACACCAGCAAGGAGGAGGAGGCTGAGCAGAGAGACCCACGCACAGGCACAAACACGGGGGACCCGTGGGGTTGGATTAGTCAGGTTGTTTATTTCCTGTATCTTGTGATGACTGACATCTTGGAAAGCTTGCCATCCGGGGGGAGCTCGCCCCTCCCAGGCCAGGCTAGGGCTTCCGGATGGCAGAGGGCTCTGCCAGGAGCTCTCCCTTCAGAGCAAAGCAACCAGTCCCCAGCCCTTGTCCCCCAAACACCCCTTTTCCCTCACCCCCATGCCAGGCCACCGTTTGCCCCACCCAGGACAGCTCCCAGACACCTGGAGCTACCCCTCCAGGCCAAGGCCCCCCGGATGACTCCCACTAGCTGATCCTGCCAGGCTCTCTCGGCCAGGCCTTTCCCACAGGTCTCTGCGGGACCTGGCGAGGCCTATCCGCACCCCGTGGCCCGGAATGGCATGGTGCGCCACACCCCCTCCACAAATGTAAGTAGTCCCTGCTTCGGATGGTGAGGCCTCCTCATGCTGCCACTCCGTCACATCCCCAGATCACACTCCCCGGGGCACACCGGAGCCGGTTCGAGTTCAGAGCTCCCAGAAAGAGGCTGAGCATGACGGCCCCACCTCTGTCCCCCTGGGCCCCAGGGCCACACCTCAGTCCTGTGTCATGAAGGAGGGAGGCTCAGTGTGGACTCTCAGGTTTGCTCCCTGGCGGCCTCCACACCTGCAGAGCCAACATGGGTCTCAGATCAGAGAGTTGCCCCTTTCATTGTAACTCCAGGCGGGTGGGACAGCTCAGCGCCACCTGGAACTCAGGGACCTCCTGGAGACTTCCCTGGGCAGGGACAGCCTGCTCACCTGCTGTAGTAGATCCAGGTGAGGCCATAGGTGAGGAGGAAACCAGCCCCCATGAGGGCCCCTCTGAGCAGGGTGAGGACCAGGGGCCAGGAGCCCTCCTGCTCCCCGGTCACACAGTTGCAGGAAAAGAGGCTTCCTGGGGAAGGAGGGACAGAGGATGAGTTCTGTCCCCAGGCTCCAGGCCCTTCCACATCCCAAACACCTGGCCAGGCTGTCCACCCCCAGAATCTGTGTTGCAACTCACTTTGCACAGAGAGGCTGAAGGAAATGTGCTGGGAGCCCAGTGGGTGCCGAGCCTGGCAGGTGAATTCCCCTTCATCTCCAGGCCCTACGTGGGGCAGCTCCAGGACCCCGGGTGCTGAGGGCTGGGAGGGGCGCAGGGCTGTCCCCTCCCGGGACCAGCTCAGCACTGCAGGGGGGTTGCTGTCAGCCATGCAGACCAGTCGCAGGAACTGCCCCCCCAGGACCGGCAGCGACGTCCCATTGTACAGCGTCTTCAGGACTGGGGAAGACATTCACCACGAGGTGGGTGGAGCTGCCACAGGAGTCTCCTCCTGGGTGTTCCCGCAGAGCCACAGGTGGAGAGACAGGGCCACGAGACAGGGGCCGATGGAGGGGCTACTCATGGCCGATTAAGGACCCTGGTGGGCAAGTGAGGCCACCAGAAAGACGGGAGTTGTGCTGAGGTGGGGAGGCTGAGTGGTGGGTGGGCGGCTCCCAGTGGTGATGTGCCAAGACTTGGTGGCCCAGCAGGTGAGGGAGGCCCATGTGCACCCGAAACTGGTGAGGGAGAACCAGGAGAGACAGGATCGTGGAGGGAAAGAAGGCAGGGTCAGAAATATTGGAGCCTTGAGTGCCAGGCTGGGCGCATTGAGCTTTGCCCTGAGGTTACTGGGAAGCAGGAGGGGCTTCAGCAGGGGAAATGCAGAAGCAGCTCTGGGGTAGACAGATCCTTCGGGGGCCATGTGGGGACTGCATAGGAGAGACTGACCAGGAGGCAGGGAGGCTGAGGAGGAGACTGAGGAGGAGGCTGAGGCAATGTTTCAGCCTCCAGGATCAGAGTGGAGCTGGGTGTGGGCCAACGCAGGAAGAAGGAAATGATTTGGGAAGTGAGGTTCTGCAGAATCACTGATTCATGGGGAGAGAGGAGCAGGGGTGTCCTAGCATGGGGTCCAGATCCCACCTGGGTTAAGGAGCACATGCAGGGGCCGTGGAGAGGCATCAGCTACCTGTGCAGATCTTGTCCGACTAGAAAGTTGTGCGAGGCATCAGGAGAGGATCTGGGTAGGAATGGGGTCACAGGTGGAGACATAGGACAGAGTGGGCACCCCCAGGAATGTGGAGACAGAGAGAAACAGGTGTCCGGCGGGAGCTGTCGGCAAGGGGGACACGGAAGAATCCTCCACTAATGACCAGATCAGAAATGAAGGAGGGCAGACAGAAACTCCCGCCCAGGGAGCAGAACTTGGAGAGTCAGAAGGTGGAAGGGAGGCTGCCAGGGATTGGGGGATGGGGGAGTCCATGTCTCATGGACACAGAGTTTCGGTGCTGTGAGCTATGGGGAGGTCTTCAGGGCGCTTGCACAGCTCCAGACTGGACCTGACACTGCTGAGCTCTACCCTTAAACGTGGTGACGATAGTCAGTGTTTCCTTGTGTCTGTGTTACTACAGTTGAACATAGACTTTGGGCCCCTGGATGCCTCAGTCCATCTGGCATCTAACTCTGTGGCTCAGAAACTGATCCCCGGGTTATGGGATCCAGCCCCGTGTTAGGCTCTGTGCTGAGCATGGAGCCTGCTTGAGATTCTCTCTTCCTCTGCTCCCCTCTTTAAAATAAAAGTTAAAATAAATTTAAAAAACCATAGACTTTAAAAGTAATGAGCAATGGAGAAGGTCAAAAGGGACCAGCGTCCAGTTATAGAACGAATAAGTCCCATGATGTAAGGTGCAGGCACGGAGACTATAATTCTTGTACCATAGACTTGAAAGTTGCTAAGAGAGTAGGTCTTAGATGTTCCCACCACAAGAAAAAAGAATTGTAACTCTGTGTGATGCCGGATGTTAAACGCACTTGTTGTGATTATTTTGCAATACACACAAACCCCAGATCATTGTGTTGTACGGGTGAAAATGAACACAATGTTATGTGTCAATCAGACCTCTGTCAAAATAAAACATAAATAATACATACAAACCAGAGACAGTAGAGGTAGGATCCATGATGGGAGAAGTCAGTGAGGTTGGGGAGGGGGTGATCCTGACCCCGAGGGCTGAGGCGTGGGGGAGGGTCTCATCCCCAAACCCTGAGCCCTAAGCCTGAGCAGGAGACACCCAGCTCTTATCACAGCCCCAGGAAAGAGAGGATCTTTCCTACCTGTGTTGTGTCACTGCAAAATGTGAGTGGACATCAACTGCAAGGTGTCTGAGAGGGATGGGCTCATGCCCTTTGTTCCAGAAGCCCCAAAGTGACAACCTTGGACGGGACTTTCAGTCCTACCCCCATCTCTACGGGGAAAAGGATCCCAGGATTGGATCCCTCCTTCCCCCATTGGATCCACTGCTTCCTGGGACCCAGCCCTCCCTCTAGCACTCATGGGAGACATTGAGGCAGATGGTCCCTTGCTGGAAGCTGACTGCACAGCCTCCCACCCCAGGCCAGGCCCCAGCCCCCAAGAAGGGGGCTTTCCTACCTGTGACATTGCTGAAGAAGATGCTGATGGTGAGGTTGTGGGGAGCATCTGGGATAGAAAGATATTGTCCTGCTTCAGAGGTGATGATTGGGATAGAAGCTGACCCAGCACCCAGGGAGGGTAGGGGAGCACCGGGAAGGTGTGCATGGCCACCCTTGCCATCTCACCTCACCCCCACCCCCCTACCTACTCAATCCCACTGCCCTGAGGGACCTAGCAGTGCCCTACCCACACCCCCTGCCCAGCACTCACAGGAGACATTGAGCCAGATGGTTCTTTCCAGGGTGGCCTGAGCTCCTGGCAGTTTCACCTGACAGGTGAGGTTGGTGCCATGGTCCTGCGGCCTCTGGGTGAAGCCCAGCACCGACGAGTGCAGGGTGTTGGGGTCCAGCGAGTCCAGAGCAGCCCCCGCCCAGGAGAATGTGAGAGGCCTTCCCCCTTCGCAGGACCCCGGCAGGCTGCAGGTCAGCTGTGCGGGCCTGCCAGACTCCAGGGGCTCCGGGACGTGGATGTCTGGTTCCAGTGTCAGAGCTGAGGACGAGAGAGGGAGGTGCCTGGGCCCCAGGGGGTGATGACCCTCAGTGCGACCCTGAGAGGCACAGGACCATGGGGCCCAAGCTGACCCTGGGCCTGTATCTTTTTCAACAGTCCCAGCCCCAAGACCTGGAGCAGGGAATGTTCTAGAGTCCTGGCCTGCTCTAAGAGGGGGTGTCCACCCCCAGAGCCCTCTCCCGGGACCCCTGCCATACCTGTCACCTTCACAGTCAGCGGCATATCTCTGTAAGTGTATTTCACGTCCTCTCCTCTCTCCACTCGGAAGTAGTAGACTCCCTCGTCGCTCCTCCGGGCCTCTCTGATTCTCAGGGAGCAGTCGCCTGTCCTGGGGTCCCCTGTGAGCTGGAATCGGCCCTTGGTGTCTGTCTTCACTGGTCTCCCTGGGTTGTTTGTAGCCGCTGGATGACTGTTGCTTGAGGTGTCCCAACCCCGGAACCAGTATACGTAGAGCATCTTCCTGGAAGACCCAGTTCTCCAGGGGTAGGAGAAGGAGCAGCTCACGTGGACACACAGACCCTCCTGTACCGTCACGGGTTCCTGCCCTCGCAGCTGGATCCCTGGATCGTCCTGCGGGGACCCTAAGGGATCATGGAGGCTCAGCCGGGGCTCCAGCCCCCTCCCCCCTGAGCCCAGCCGTCCTGCCTCGGCCCACTCACCCCCCCACAGCAGGGGCAGCAGCAGCAGAGGCACCATGTCCGCAGGGACCAGGGCAGGAGCCCGGATCCAGATCCTTCTGTCAGGGAGGGAAATGCCCGGAATGTGGAGGAGGCCACGGAAGCCCCAACAGGAACCCGTGACAGAGCTGTGGCCACCACGGAAGGGGAACTAGTGCAGCACAGGCCGTGGTTGCAGGGGGGAGTGGAGTGGGGGCTGAGAAATTTCTCCTCCTGCCTCCCTCCCTTTTGTAGACAGAGCCCAGGATTTACTGGAGACGGACAGAGGCTTTGTCTAGGCAGATAAGGCCCCAGAACGCAGCCCTTTCCTTGGGCTCCATGTTTGCACAGGGAAGAGAAGGGAACGCCCCCTGGCTGGATCCCTGGGACTAGAGCCTCTGGGCGCTGGAAGAGATCAGACAAATGCATGATCACATGACGGGGCTCTGAGAGGCTCCCAGGCGGAGAAGCCAGGTCTTATCAGGGAAGGTGTGTTCTCAAAGGACAAATACATCAGGTAGATGGGACTTGGTTCCCAGTAGTCACTAGATATACGGTTGCCACCAGCGACTCTGGGCCTCCTGACCCCTTGGATATGGGCCCCTGTTCCTACCACTCTCCTCATCCCAGGCCCCCTCAGACTCTGACCATGTTGTTGACGCAGAGTTGACCTGAGAGCCGGGCATTGGGAATGTGCAAGTTGAGGGCATGGAATCACCTGACTGAAATCAAGACAGCTACCTACCTACCACCTCGCCTATCACCTGCTCAACTTTACCAAAATTAGTTGGCCTCTTGGGGCCTCGGTTTGCTCATCCATAAAATGGGGACGCTACTGGAAATGCTATGTGACATTAAATGAGTCCATGCATGTCAGATGCTTTGGGCACTGTCTAGTGCTGAGTATTTGTTTGTCCAAATTATGTGTCCTGGACACCTCCTATGTGCCAAACCCTGTTTTAGAGCTGAAGATGATGTGGTTTGGGAGGGGGGTGTCTCCAGAGCCAACATCCAAGAAGATATTCTTGAAACATCTTTGGTGCAAAAATGTGATTTCACTAAAGCACAGGGACAGGACCCATGGGTAGAAAGAGCTGTGCTGGGGTTGTGAGGAGTGATCGGTTATATACCATGGACTTGGGGGAGTTAAAGGCAAAAGGGAGGTTTCCAAAAAGACTTTCATATCCTAAAGAAGACTCACAAGAGGGTCACCTGGGTGGCTCAGTTGGTTAAAGCATCTTGACTTCAGCTCAGGTAATGATCTCAGGGTTTGTGAGTTCGAGCTCCTCATTTAACTCCACACTGTGCACAGCCTGCTTAGGATTCTCTCTCTCTGCTTAGGATTCTCCTTCCCTCTCCCTCTCCCTTTCCCTCTCTCACTCTCACTCTCACTCTGTCCCTTCCCCACTCACACTCTGTCTCAAAATAAATAAGTAAACTTTAAAAACACAAGCACAAAACAAAACAACAACAAAGAAAGAATACTCACAAGATACTGGAGGCGTTACTATTGTCAAGCTAAGGTTGTTTTTCCCCTGAGCAAGGCATCAACATGAAGACAGTACGGGATCTGGAGAAATGTTTTACTCCACCGCCTCAGGTATCTGTCAGTGGGCTATAGGTTACAAGGAAATTTAATTTTACCTACCATTTTCTCTGCCTTTGTTTCCCACATCATTCTCCCCTGAACCATTTTGACCCTTACATCTTTAAGACTGCTGAGGGCGGGGCGCCTGAGTGGCTTAGTCGGTTGGGCTTAGGTCATGATCTCACGGTTCGTGGGTTCGAGCCCCGCGTCGGGCTCTGTGCTGACTGCCAGCTCAGAGCCTGGAGCCTCTTTCGGTCTGTGACTCCCTCTCTCTCTGACCCTCCCCTGCTCACGCTGTCTCTCTCTCCTAGAAATAAATAAAACATAAAAAAAATTTAAAAAAAAAAAGACTGCTGAGGGCGGAAGGTCTCATCTTCTGTAATTTCTTCTAGCTGAATAGGGGCTAGAGATGTCCCCACCTATGGGTCAACATTGGTCAAGTGGGGTATTTATATGTAGGAGTTACCAAAGGCAGAGGCAGCCATTCCAAGGTGGACACAGTATATATAACCCTCCTTGCGTAGAAACGATCATCTGACAGCTACAAGTTACAGCAGTATCGGAGTTTGAGCACCAGGCAGGGAGACACCGGAAATGACAACAAAGGAAAGTTAATATTATTATGAGAAGAAGAGGCCAAAAGAAACAGCCTTTGATAGTTAATCAGAACTTTCCTCAAGTCCTTCATTGTCGTTTGAAGAGAAATTTGAGGTGTTCTACAGGTTCACAGGAATAAGCAGGTGCGTCAGCTGGCATACTAGATTCCTGTGAAGATGGTACAGGTTTAATTCCCGATATGTGAGTCCATGAGGAATGTCCTTCTAATTTTACTGCAGTGGGAGTACATAATATGACCCGGTAGGGGTCCTTCCATTTTGGAGTTAAATCCCCTCTCGTATTAGATTTCCAATCCCCCCCCCTTTTTTTTTTTAATTTCTAGGAGAGAGAGAGACAGCGTGAGCAGGGGAGGGTCAGAGAGAGAGGAGACACAGACTCTGAAATAGGCTCCAGGCTCTGAGCTGTCAGCACAGAGCCCTACGCGGGGCTCTAACCCATGAACCGCAAGATCGTGACCTAAGCGAAAGTCGGACGCTCAGCCGACTAAGCCACCCAGGCGCCCCATCCCCCCAATTTTTAAAAATTAATTAATTTATCTTTGAGAGACAGACAGACAGACAGAATGTGAGTGGGAGAGGGTCAGAGACACAGGGAGACACAGAATCTGAAACAGGCTCCAGGCTCCGAGCTGTCAGCAAAGCCCAAAGCGGGGCTCAAACTCACGAACTGTGAGATCATGACCTGAGTCAAAGTCAGTCACTTAACCAACTGAGCCATCTAGGAGCCCCAAGACTTCCAGTTCTTTAAATAAACTAGGTCTCCTGCATTTATATGGGATGGATTTTTAGTAACTGTCAGATCAGGTTTAGGGAGGATATGGTTTGCATATTCATTTACATACTTATGAATTAACCCAGACTCAAGTGAATAATTTAACAGAGCATTATAGTCTTTACCTATTGATAGGTCTACAGTGAGGAGAGGCTTTCTGGAAGCAGATTGAAAACCATAGTTTGGAGAGCCATAGCCAAATCAAGACTAATTCTTTTGTAGAACAAATCGTTTTAACAAACTTGGCCTAATTATTTACATAACCTCAGCAAGAATAGTGATTGGCCATATAGATCTTTTAAAGTTTGCTTTGCTGGAACTTTTCATGAAGAATCTAGATTGAACTTTTAGTAGCCTCTCCAGGCCAGAAGCAAAAGCAAGCACTTGCCATCAGACATGGCTACAATACCTGTAGAATTGGGCAAATTCCTCTTCTCAGGTCCCCAAGATATCCTGAAGTTCCTGCACCTGCCATGAAGTGACCTTCTTTAGTCACCTGGTAAGGCTGCTGGGAACTGTAAGCAAGGTATCAGGCCAACATTTCCAAGGGGCTTTATGGCTCCACATTTCATAAAGTCAGCCTTAGTTCCTTAAAGCTATCTGGTCATATCTGAGTCTATGCATGTCTCTCAAATATGACATTCCAGTCAAAGCCTTGGTAGAATAACCAAAGTTTCTTAAAAAAATTTTTTTAATGTTTTATTTATTTCCAGGAGAGAGAGAGAGAGAGACAGCGTGAGCAGGGGAGGGTCAGAGAGAGAGGGAGTCACAGACTGAAACAGGCTCCAGGCTCTGAGCTGGCAGTCAGCCCAGAGCCCTACGTGGGGCTCGAACCCACGAACTGCGAGATCATGACCTAAGCGAAAGTCAGACGCTTAACCGACTAAGCCACCCAGGCGCCCCTGAATAACCAAAGTTTCTAATGGTTATTCTACCAAGGTTATTCTCCTGTTACATGAAGAACAGATTCTCTCTCTCTCTTTTTTTTTTTAAGTTTATTTAGAGAGAGAGCTAATGGGAGAGGGGCAGAGATCAAGGGAGAGAGGGAATCCCAACCAGGCTCTGCACTGACAGCAGGCTCAAACCCACAAACCGTGAGATCATGACCTGAGCCAAAACCAAGAGATGCATAACCGAATGAGCCACCCAGGCACCCTGAAAAACAGATTCTTACTGAATTTATGTGAATAACTATGATTGCCATGAAAGAAAGACACTCAAGGAGAGTTTTTTGAATTTCATAAGGTTCAGGTAGAGAGAAAAGTTAAAAGCTTCGATTTGTTCACAAATGAATATTTTGTCACATTTCTGAAGGTCTTAACTTTCTTAAGAGAAAGTTTCCTTAATGTGGAAGAGCAGGGGTGCCTGAGTGGCTCAGTGAAACGTCTGACTTTGTCTCAGGTCATGATCTCACGGGTTGTGGATTCGAGCCCCGCGTCAGCCTCTGTGCTGATAGCTAGCTCAGAGCCTTGAGCCTGTTTTAGATTCTGTATCTCCCTCTCTCTCTGACCCTCCCCTGCTCATGCTGTCTCTCTCTCAGAAACAAATAAAACATTAAAAAATTTTTTTTAAATGTGGAAAAGCAAACATTAGAGAACCATCAATATTTCAAACAAGAGTCACAAAAGCTACAAATGACAAAAAAGACTCAAAAATAGACATGGTTAGAGATCTGAGAAGAGTGCATTATGATGCAGTTGACAAAGAAATTTGGTTACTGCTGTGGCACACTTCAATAATTCGAATATCAAGTGATGGTCTTATACCAAAATATATTAAAACTTTAGGAATTGCCTAGCATATCTCTAGAAGAGTTATAGCATTTACCCAAATACAACTCCAGGTTAAACAAACCAAGGTGACAATAAGAGATTCCAAAGGCAAACAGGTAGGGTTATATGGTTGTTAGCAAAACCTAGCTCCTTTAATATTGAGAGGTTTTAAATAAGTCACCAAGACCTGATAAAGACAAAACACAAAACTTTCATCTGCCTGGTTTTCTGGGCAGATAAAAGAGAAAAAAAACACGTTTGTTTACATTTTCTTACCAAAAGCAGACCAACAATCCAAGAAAACTTTTTTTAACAGAAAGAAA